TTCCAACTGTGTTCAAACGGAGTTTTAAGGCAGGTGGTGGGAGGTGGGAGGGACTGGGAGGTGAAGGAAGGCCTGGGGGCACTGGGGCTTGCAGGAGGCAAGCGAGCAGGTTTGGGATCAGGGAGATAGCACAAAACCCAAACCCGGCAAAGTGAATCTTGTGCCCCAGCAAGAATCACCTGCACCAACAGGAGCCTGTTGTGGTTCTGAGAGGACAGAAACCCCTGCTGCCGCCAGGGACCTCCTTCACTCCCCGCAAGGGTCTGGTCCTCCAGGGGGGCTGCCCGTCTTGAGATGGGCCTGCGGCAGGAGGGGCCCATCAAGCTTGGATGAGGGGGCATGTTCTTCCCAGCTGGTTACTCGGGAGCTCCTTCGCATCCTTCCGTGTCCGCCCAAAGATCCGCTCCCCCAGAGAGGCATCCCTGAACCCCTCTGACTTGGTTTGCTCCCTTCTCTCTGCCACCCTTCACAGCCCCTCCTCCAGACCTCACCCCTCAGGTGGGGCAGGGTGGCTCGACCACATGCACCCGGGAGCCTGGTCTGCCTGGCACATAAAACCCCCGAACCCCACCCCATCGAGTCCGTTTTGACTCATAGTGACCCTAGACGGGGTTTTGGACGCTGCACGTCTTTCTGAGCACAGAGCGCCCCATCTTTCTCCCGTGGATTGGCTGGTGGGTTTGAAGGGTGGTCCTGGCAGCTAGCAGCCCAGTGCCTACCTAACCCACAGAGCCTCCAGAGCTCCTCGCCTGGCGCACAGTGCCCCAACAAAGCATAATAAAGACCCATGCCCACGGAGCCGATTCCCACCTGTAGCGACCCTCCAGGACAGAGTGGAGTTCGTCCCTCGAGTCTCTGAGCCTGCAGACCTCCAGGGAGCAGACTGCCACACCCTTCACCCCTTGGGGGCCGTGGGGTGGGTTCACGCTGCTTACCAGCCAACTCGTCACCCACTTTGCCACCATAGTTACCTTCTGGTTAACAGCCGAGGGCTTGCCCACTGTGCCTCCAGGGCTCCTTTGGCAGGTATCAGGCCCTCAGTAAACTCGAGGTGAAGGAGTGGATGGATAGATGGATGGATGGATGGATGGATGGGTGCATGGATGGATGAGTGGATGGATAGATGGATGGATGGATAGATGGATGGATGGATGGATGCATGCATGCATGGATGGATGGATGGATGCATGCATGCATGCATGGATGGATGGATGCATGCGTGGATGGATGGATGGACGCAGACCCAGCTTGGGCGCCCATCTCAGACTGCGTACCTTGGGGGCTCAGTGGCTGAGGTGCTGACCGACACAGGCTAGCCCCCTTCATGGCTCCTTCTTGCTGCGTTGCTTTCAGCCAAAGCTCACGTCTGAAATCAGTGCTTGGTGTCTGGCTGGGAGAATCTCAGCCTTGGTAAGTAGGAGAGAGGGGGGCCGGGCAGGGGTGAAGTGGGGGCTTTCCTGGGAGCCCTGAAAAGTTTGAGGTGGGAAGTCCCTGTCTGGTTCTGCTCCTTACCCTGCCTATGCGACCACGGGCCTGAACCTCCGTTTCACTCTTGGTGGGGCCATGTCGACAGGAGCCTGGAGGGATTGAGGGGTGAGATTTCTGGGCTGGGCTGCAGGAGGTGGGGACACCGATTGTGGGGTACCTGGGCCAGGCCTACAGAGGGTCCCCTCGCTCCCACATGCAGTTGGAGCGTTTCAAGTCAGGGGGGCTGGAGTCCTCTCTGTGACCCGAGCATCGCCTGGCTCTCCTCAAACCCACAACTAACGCCAGTGGAGCTTCCCACCAGCCCCATGATGGTCAGATCCACTCCACAGAGGGGCAAATGGGGGCTTCATGACTCCAGGGGCCCAAAGTCAACTCTGAACACTCCGAGTCCATGGGAAGGCAGTCGTCGTTAATGAACTACCCAGAGTCCCAGTGGCTCCTGGGCTCAAGGTTCTCCGAGGGCCTGGTCTTCTCTTGGGGACAGGAGGCCCCCAGGGGGACGAGTTCAGCCCCCTTCTGGCACAGGTAGAGCTATGCTGCGGATCCTGTGCCTGGCCCTCTGTGGGCTGCTGACAGGCATGCGGGCTGACCCCGGGGCACTGCTGCGGCTCAGTATGGACCTCATGAACCATGGTGAGTGTGCCCAGCCAGGCGAGGGGCTGCGGGCGGGAGGAAAACTCGTGTTTACACGCCTGGAGCATCCTTGCAGTTAGGTGCCCTAGAGCCGGCTCTGACCCACAGTAGGGGACCCACGTACAATAGAAGGAAATGCTGCCTGGTGCTGTGCCACTCTCCCAAATGCTGTTGTTACGTGGGAGCCCACTGTTGCAGCTACTGTGTCAAGCCATCTCCCATAAGGCCCTCCTCTTTTTTGGGGTGTGTGTGATTTAAATTTTGTAAATGAATTTTATTAAAAGATCATTTTATTGGGGGCTCTTACAACTCTTTTTTTCCTTACAACTCTTATAACAATCCATACATCAGTTTTATCAAGCACATTTGTACATATGTTGCCATCATTTTCTAAGCATTTACTTTCTATTGAGCCCTTGGTATCGGCTCCTCTTCCCCGCCTCCCTCTCTCCCCCTCATGACCCCTTGATAAATTATAAATATAATTATTATTTTCATATCTTACACTGACCGCTGTCTTCCTTCCCTCACGGTTTCTGTTGTTCATCCCCCCACCCTCCCTGGGGGGGAGTTGCAGTTATGTGTCAATCATTGCAATCAATTCCCACTTCCTCCCCTCCTTTCCCCGCCTTCCCCCTACCCTTCTGATATCGCTACTCCCATTCTTGCTCCTGGAAAAGGGCCTTCCTCTTTTTTGCCGACTCTCTACTTCTCCAAGCATGCTGCCTTTCTCCAGGGACTGGTCCCTCCTGACATCGTGCCCAAAGTGCACTGTCCTTGCTTCTAAGGAGCATTCTGGCTGTACTTTCGAACAAACCTAACAGCAGTGTTACTTTAAGTTTCTCCTTTCACAGAGGAGGGAAACTGAGGCCCAGAGAAGGAGGGGATGGCTTGCCCGATGTTGCCTTCCTATGCAGCCTCTTGTTGACCCTGGGAGGGTGGGCTGGTGGCCACAGGGGCTGTTGGGGTTATAGCACGGGTTTCACCCCAACTTGCTGTGTGACTTTAGGCCAATCACTCACTCACTCACTCACTCTGTGTTGCACCTCTGCCTGGAGCGAATAAATGTGGGAAGTTGTCCTGGAGGGTGGGGGTGGGGGAGTCACATTCTGATGCAGAGGGCCAATGACAGTTCTATGGCTCAGTGTCTGCCCCATGCTGAGAATTAATTAGCCTGTGACCAAACTGACAGTGTTCCTGGTGTCTTTTGGGGTTGAGGCCTCCAGGCCTGGGGATTTGGAAACCTATGGTTCAGGCCCAGGATCTGCATTTTCACATGGCCCCTGGTGTCCCTGAATCTCCCAGGTCCGAGAGTGGAGGGCCCTGGGCCCTGGAGACAAAGGCGATCCTTTAGCTTGGTGGTCAAGGGCTAGTGGTGCACCGCATGCTGTCTGCCCCAGTTCCTCTGCCATACTTCTAACCCTGGAGAATTGTCCACTCTGCCCTTTCCCCACCTCCCCTCTCTGTCCCCGCCTCTGTACTTACTGTACCCATACTGGACTGGCCCTTTTGCCACCTGCCAAATTCCCCTTTCCCTTTAAAGGGCCAAGTGGTATGTCACCTCCACCTGGAAGCCTTCCCAGTTCTTCCTGTCCTGCCTTGGGACCCCCATGTAATTCCTCCAGCTTCCGGGCCCACCTTTGATGGCACTTGTCCCCTTTCACTGCTGCTGCAGGTGGCCCTGTCTCCCCCACCAGGCTGGAGGAGGGCTGGGCTGGCCCAGGGTGGGACACGGAGACTCTGAAGCACAGGATGGTGTCACGCAGCAAGTGATGTGGACCTGGGAGATGGAGAGATTGGTCCAGATGGGCAGGGGTGCTGTGAGGAGCCCGTCTGAGTGTCCCTCGGGTCCACCCTGCAGAGGTCCAGAGTGCCATGGAGGAGAGCCACATTCTGGAGAAGATGGCAGCGGAGGCGGGCAAGAAACAGCCAGGGGCGAAACCCATTAAGGGCATCACTGAGTGAGCAGGGCCGCGGGGGGTGTAGGGGGCAGAGGGTGGTGCCGAGTGGAGACTGCCTGGTGAGGGCTGTGGTGGGACGTGGGTCTCTTCCTGCCCAGGGACCTTGGGCAGGTCCCTGGGTCAGCCTGGGCCTCAGTTCCTCTGCTGAGTGGACACGGGGCGAGTTCCACTCTGCCTGTGTGTCAGGCCATGACTCTGAGGTCGTGAGACGGACAAGTCAGCCTCCGACTGCAGTGTGTGGTAGGTGCTCCTGGCGTGTACCTGGGATTGCATGAAGACGTGGCAGAGCCACATGAATGGTTTCAACAGCCGGGGGCAAGTCGGTCCTAGGGCATGTGCCATGGGGGATGGATTAGTAGGGGCGACCTGAAGGTTGTCCTGGGAAGAATTCTGGGGTGCCCTGGTGGTGATGTCTGATAAGCATCAGACTGCTAATAGCAAGGGCAGTGATTCAAAGCGCCCCCCACCCCTGCCCTCGGCTGCTCTGTAGGAGAAAGAGAAGGCTACCTGCTCCCGTAAAGACTGACAGCCAAGGAAGCCTGATACAGGGTTGCTATGAGCTGGAATCAACTGCCTGGCGTGGCCTTTATCCGAGCTTAGCAGGAAGGAGGACGGTGATCCACTAGCCATGGCTGCCAAGAGTTCAGGGTGTGCAGGTGGAGGTGTCTGTGCCACACCTTTGCCACCCTGGACAGTTTTGTCCCCAGGGGTCATTTGGCAGTGTCTGGAGACATAGGTGATGGCCCAAACTTGGGGGGGCAGAACCAGGTGCTCCTGGTACCGGTGTCCAGCGTGTAGAGGCTAAGGATGCTGCTCAACCTCCTACAATGCCCAGAATAGCCCTGTGACCAACAGTGGTCTGGCTCAACATATCAAGAGGGCCACTATTGGGAATCCTTAATCTAGGCAAACGTTCCCATCTTCCCAGTGGGGAAACTGAGGCTCATAGAGGGAAAAGCAGAAGTCTAAGGGCACGCAACGCACCACACACGGCGAGTGCTTTCTGTGTACGATTGGTGGATGCCCAGTCCTTGGGTCAGCTTGCACCATGACCCCAAGAGGCTTCTTCTGGTGGCACCAGATGAGGGGCTTTCTTGAGGCCACCCAGCCAGGTGATGGAGGAGCGGGTCAAGGGTCGGTATCTCACATGCCCTGCTCTCATTCCCGTGGCTGCCTATCCCCGCCCAGTCTGAAGGTGTCGGATGTCCTGGTGCCTGTCATCACACTGAACTTCGTACCCGACGTGGGCATCTTTCAGTGTGTGTCCACTGGCATGACCATCAACGGCAAAAGGCGAGTATGGGGCCGGAGACTTGGGTGGGGGTGGGGAGCCCTCTCTGTCTCACTCCTTGGCACATAGTTACTGCGTACCTATGGTATGCCACCTGCGGACGCTGGTCTGAGAAGATACAGAGGCAGTCCCTTCTCTGCAGGGGCAATAATAGGACAATAAAAGGGCAAGGGAATCAAGACAGGCATCTAGGAAGCGCCGACAGCTGAGCTGAGTTTTGAAGGCTGTGTAGGGGTTCGCTAAGGCAAGAGAGAGGAGAGAGCTTAGGTGAGGACCAGGCCCTATCCCCTTGGCCTACAGGTATAGCGCCCCCTGACACCCCGCACCCCCTACATTTTTCCTCCCAGAGCAGCTGAGACTGTGGACAAAGAGGGGCCAGGGAAAGTGGCTCAGGTGACAGAGAGACCTCCCCAAGTGCTCACCTGTCTCTTCCTGCAGCTTCATGGGTGGAAACATGGAGATCATCGTGGTCCTGAACATCACAGCTACCAACCGGATGCTGCAGGATGAGGAGACAGGCCTCCCCATGTTCAAGAGTGAGGGCTGTGAGGTCATCCTGGTCAGTGTGAAGACCAACCTACCTAGCAAGTAAGCAGCTCTGTGCTGTGGGCCTCCTCAGGTGGCAGAGAAGGCTGGTTCCACATGCACACAACACCTGCCCCAACCCGCTTCCTCAGCCCTGTGCTTCCTCAACCCCATTCCTTCATGCCTTATTTTAAAAATTCCTGACACTTATGCACCTGTTCACCCATCCTGCTGTGCTTGTGTCTAGCATGCTGCCCAAGGTGGTCAATAAGTTCCTGGACAGCACCCTAAACAAAGTTCTCCCTACAATGGTGAGTGGCCCAAAGAGAGCCTGCCCTCCATCCCTGGGGTACAGATCAGGCCTGGCAAATGCCTCTTCTCTTGGGTGCTGACTCTGGTGGAAAGTGATAGGATGGCTGTTGCCGGGACGCATTCTGACACTGCCACTAGCTCATTGTGAGAAATTTCCACGATCGTCTAGTCATGTCTGCCACAAGCAGGGAAAGTGGAAGTGATGGCCTGTCTATCACATCTCTCCACACTTGCTCAGCGGACCATTTCCTGGGAAATGAGTTGCCCTGGCTTTGAAGGCTAGAGTCAGGAGATCTGGGTTCTGGTCCAAGCTCTGCCACTGCCTGGCTCAATGATCCCCCCAGCCATTGTCCTACCTGGGCTCTTGGGACTTTACACCTCCCCACTGAGTACCTTTTAGCTGTGAGGGGTGTGGTCCTCCACACGGAAGCCCCTACAGCCCATTCTCTGATTCCAGATGTGTCCGGCCATCGATGCTGTCTTGGTGTATGTGAACAAGAAGTGGGCCAACCTGAATGGTGAGTGTAGTCCCGGCCACGTCATCACACCCCACCAGGGACGTCAGGATGGCTGGCCTTTGGTGGCCCACTCCCCATTCAAGTAGCTGCTCCCAGATCAGTCTGGGGGTTAGAGGAGGTCTGATGGGGAGCCCGAGGTCACAAGGGACTCTAGGGTCCTTGTTGCTCAGCCGTCCACACGGTATTGTACCCAGCTCCCCGGGACACCGAGCACAGCAGCCATTTGGGGTCCATTTATGAGCCTTACAACCCGAGGGATGATCCAGACAGGGCGATGGTTGATTCTCCTGTGCCTTGTGGACCTGCTACCTCCATCACCTTGGGGGCCCGCAGAACTCCTGGTTTGGGGGAGAGAAAAACACAATCTCTCGGATTGAAGAGGAAATGTGGTCATCTGCACAGTAGTCCGGTTGGCACAAGTCACTTCACCCACCCCATCCCCACCCCTGACCCGATCCTCAGTTTGCTCCTCTGTGTCACGGAGTCAAGTGGCACGACCCACAGCTGCCCGAGCTGTGGTAGCCCTCGGAGAGAGTGTGTGCTCTGTGCCCGCAGAGTGATGCATGCGTGCGAGGAGGGCGCTTTTCCGGGCCAGGCACCATCACCCGTCTTGGACAGATCTTGGAGTTACTGAGGCCCATAGACACTAACAAGTTTGTCTTGGGACACGGAAGGCCTGGTTTCTGGCACTCGGTCCAGGCTCCGGTGGCCTTCTCCGTCCAGCTCCTGGATTGAGCACCTTTCTAAGTGTTTCTAGCCTTCCTCTTCCCACAGCCCCCATGCCCGTGGGCCAGGCCGGCACTGTCAAATACGCCCTGTCATCCATACCGACCACCACAGCCAACTACATTCAAGTGGACCTAACTGTAAGCCCTGGGCAGCCAGCGGGTGGAGATCTGAGCATCGCTGACCTGGGTGGGGGCTGCTGGTAGTGGGGCTGGAGGGTGAACAGGCCACCGTGGGGATTTAGCCAGCCATCAGGGCCTCCTCCCTCTCTCTGCCTTAAACATGAGCCCTGAGTCCCCAGGCGGATTCCAGGGGCTGCTAACTAACTTCTCGCTCACACTTTCTCCCGAGGCTGCTGGTTCCTATCAAAGTGCTCCTTACCCACTCGTGCCCTGCCGCTGCACAGACTAGGGTCCAGAGAAGAGACAGGGCTTGCCTAGGGGGTTCCACAATGGGGTGATGGCGGGATTGGGCCAGGTCTCCAGAGACCCAGTTGATTGGGAAAGCCACACCCTCTGGGAATGGTAAGACATCCAAGAAGCCTTCTGAAGTCTCCTTCCCGTGCCGTTCTGACGTGGCCTGGCTTCTAAGAAGAAAACGGAAAACAGACTATGAATGAGAGCTCCAAATAGGCAGAGTCGGGCTGCGCACTCCTAGCAGGGACCGACTTGCCAGTGGTCTCGTGAGGACTCCTCTCTCTCTCTCTCCTCCCAGGTCTCAATCTGCCCACCTGTATGCTGGGAGGGGTGGGCCATTGCAGTCTGCTCCGGTTCTAATAGGCAGTGACTTGATGATTTAGGGCTCGGTTTGAGCCCCACGAAGGTGCAGAGTGTGTGTGTGTGTGTGTGTGTGCATGTGCGTGCGCGCGCGTGCTTACCACCAGCCCCTGTGGCTTAGGCTGGGTGTCTTTCTACTGCCACACACACAGCCTTTGGTGCAAGAGCCAGAGGGGAACACCATCGAGCTTCCTGATGGCGGAGAGGCCTTCGCAGCCCCCGGGGACTATGCTGAAGGCTCGTCACAGCTGCTGCTCTCTGCTGCCTTCCTCACGGGCGAGCTCACCCTCCTGCAGAAGTCCTTTGGTGTGAAAATCAAGGACAAAAAGGTGAACGGCCCAGCGGTCTTGTCTCCCTCATCTGTTTCTGCCCTCTGTCATGACAGGTCCTACTGCATTGTCTCTGCCCAGAATCATCCTGGAGTTGTGGGCTATACCAAGACTGGGAGATGACAGACTTGACTGGGGCTCCTGTTTTCAGTGCCCCCCATCATCTACGATGTGTCTGTCCCTGCAACATCTAGCTGTCCAAACAGCCAGCTCTGCATTCATCAACACACACCTCTCACACCTTAGCCTGCTCCTCTTATCCAATTATTACTCACTTGTCTCTTTATAGTCATGCTTTAGGCCAGATCCTTCCAACTCTCATCCACATCCATGCCTTTAGGTCGTCCATCCAACACCCAGAACAGGGCCTTATACTACTGAATGAGTGAATCTCTGTATCTTCTGGTGACTGGCTAGATAGACATCTACCTACCTATCTACCCACATAACTCCCCACTATTCATTATCATATTCATCCACTCATTTAGTCATCCATCCATTCTTCCATCCATCCATCCTCTGACCTTTCTATCTACTCAACCACCCACTATGGTATCATCCATTCATCCTCCCATCTATCTACCTCCCATCCATCCATCCATCCATCCATCCATCCATCCATCCATCCATCCTTCTGTCCATCCATTCTCCTATCCATTTATCATCCCACGCCACCATCTTCCCAGCCAACCATTCTCCCAACCCATCTGCTCACTTTCTCCTCCAAGCACATGTTCCCAGCGTCTGACCTTGTGTAGGTTCAGTCACCCAGGAGGACGTGATCTAGTTGAGCACAGAGCTAAGCATGAATGAGCAGTGTTGTGATGAAGGGAACCTCCAAGGGTCTCTTTTTGAGTGAGAGCTGTTTATTCGATGGATCGGGGAAGGCTTCAGCTACCCTAACCTTGACTTTCACTTTGTAGATTGGTTCGCTGCCCCCCCTAACCACCAAGACCCTGGCTGGCTTCATCCCTGCAGTGAGTATCCGAACCACCCATGACCAGCATGACCTGCCCTGCCCTGCCCTGTTCTCCTCCCGTGGAAGGGACGAGGGGCTTCAGATGCAGCTTTTCGGTGCCACATCTCCCTGTCTGACATTGAGAGTACCCTGACTTCTCCGTAAAGTACTTTTGGGGGTTCAGCTTCCAAACAACAGAAACAGCTCAGCCCTTGTACACTGCACTATGTCCATCAGGGAACCGGTCACCTTGTGAGTTTTGTTCTCTCTGTTCCCCATAGACACTCACCAGCCTTTGCAGGTCTCACCTCCTGTGTCCCAGGTAGAAATGGCCTGTGCCAGGAGCGACCCCTTGGTGTCAGCTGAAGCCCCCAGTCTGAGGGCTGCCCTTAATGGGCCTTCCTCGGTTTCTATAGGTGGCTAAAGCCCACCACAAGTCAAAGCCCTTGGTGACTCAGATCAAGATAAACAAGCCCCCAAAGGTCACCATGAAGTCAGGCCAGAGTCTGCTGCACCTCCACGGCACCTTAGAGATGTCAGCTGCTCGGCGGAAGGGCAAGGCGCCCGTGTCCCTCTTCCTCCTGGAAGTGGTAAGTATGGAAGCAGACCCCTCATCGTCTCACCATCGTGGATATTCAAGGCTGGAGGGAGGGATTTCAGCGGATGGCCAACTAATGGATCTGAGGGCTCTTGGTTAATCCCTGGCAGATGGTCTTAACCTCTGGGCACTGTCGTCTGATGTCTGACGCATAGTTCCGTCATGGAACATTTGAATGGCTCCCAAGACCAACAAGCTGAGGACCCATGGTTTAGCTCTTCTTCTCTTTCTCCTCCCTCCCTCACACGCCCCCACCTGGAGCACACATTAGCATCTCCATGGGCAGGGAAGGGTTCATCTAAGCGCCCAGGGAATCCAGTGAGGTCTCAAGTCCAGTCTTGGGAAATCACAGAGGGCTTCCAAGAGGAGGTGATGTCTAAGGTTTTGAAGGATGAGCAGAGTCTGGCCCGGGAAGAGGATTGTACTGGGAGGTGCAGAGCACTTAAGGCAGAAGTCATGGTATGTGCAAAGGCCGGACACTAACACAATGCAGGCAGGGATCTGAAAACCTGGACCAGTTATTTTGTTTAGGGGTAGCAGCCTTGGTGGCCTACTGGATTGTGATTTGGGCTGCTAACCATAAGGTCAGCAGTTCAAACCCACCATCTGCTCTTTGCCAGAAAGACAAGGCTTTTTGCTCCCATAAAGATTTTGTAGCCATGGAAACCCACAGAGGGTAGTTCTACTCTGTTTAATCAGGTCACTATGGGTCAGAATCAACTTGATGTCCATGAGTTTGGGTTTTGGCTTTTGAGTCCTGGATCAAGTCAGGGTGAGATAAGGAGTCAGGCCTGTGGGCCTGGGGACACCGTGGGCAAAGAGGCAGGCTCACACTGGGGTTCTACTGAGTTCTGCTTTGTTGTGGCAGTGGTGGTGCTAAGAGGTGGCAAGGCCAGGGTTCCACTGTCTTCCCCCTGTCCTCCCCCAAGCACTTCAACCTGAACATCCAGTTCTCAGTGCAAGAGGACCAGCTGCACATGACCACCTCACTCAACAGGTACCAGCCTGCTGCCTCACGCTGGCATCGCTGCGCCTCACACCCATCCTGCTTCCTGCGGGCCCACTCAGCGCAGCCCTTACTGCCCACTGCTCTAGTCCCAATGCCTGCCCTGCACCTTCCATGGCTTCCTTCTACCTCGACAAACTTTGCTCAGTGCTTGGTCTGCACCCCAGCCCTTCCCAGATCCCCTGACTTCTAGTCTCATGATCCCACTAGGTCTTTCGAGATGAAGTCTGCCCGTTGGCCTATGTCCCCTCTTTCATCCACAGACCTTTGCCATCTAAATGTCACCTGTCAGTTAGGGCCTCACTCAAATGGCACCTCCTCCAGGAAGACTTTTTGTAGACGAATAACAGCTGGTGTTTCTGGGGCTTATTTCTGTCTCCTGGCTTGGCTACTGTGGTCATTAACCCACTCCGTTCTCATGCTCTCGGGTGGGGGTGGGGAGCCTATCCACATCCAAGCTTTATATCCAGTGGCTCATTCAGTCCTACATTTGCCCCACCTGCTGATCTGACTTGTATTAGGCCATGATTCTATCACTGGCAAAAAACTGAATTGTAACTTTGATTTGCTTGAGTTCCAAAGGAAATAATTGCCACATATCACGGAAAACTCTAAGGGTAATTCTGCCTCCGGGCATGGCTGGATCGAAGTACACAGGCAAAGACCTCAAGAGTCTTTCTCCCTGCTGCTCCCTTTTCCCTGCTATCCAACTTGTCCGCTGAATTCTTAGTTTCCTTCTCTCTATTGGGTGGCAAAATGAGCCTAGCAACAAGGGGCTTCATGTCCAATGGTTCTCACAAGGCAGCTTCTCATTGGTTTAGCTTAAGTCACATGGTTAGATATAAACCAATCAACGTGACTAGGAAATGGAATGTTCTGATTGGCTAGAGGGGAGTCAGTACTCATCCTGGGGCCTCTGGGTTCAGCCCCACCTGAATCTGTTGGCATGAGAGTAGAAAGTGGGAGGTTTGTTACCGCATTGGAAAACAGATGTTGGGGCAGAAGAGCCACTGGATGACCATCACCACATGGCCTGTTCTGGTGCCAACATGTACTAGTACCTACCAGAGGCGAGGTGAGGGCTCCCAACTCCAACACGTGCAGGAATCTGGGCCTGTTAGTTTGCAAACCTTTGCACACCTGGCCCGAGGCAGGAGAAGTTGACCTGGCCAAGAGTCACCAAGGGAAGAGACAGGGTAATGAGGGGAGGCACAGGAGAATGGGCTGCAGTGAGAGGTGGTGAGTGCTCCATCAAAGGTACCATGCAAGCAGAGGCTTATGAGCACCTGTCTGGAGGTTGTCGTGGAGACTCCTGCATCAGGGAGGGTTTGGGTGCTTGGGACTCCCTTTCTCCAAGGCAAGGGATGCTAACTCTGACCAGCCCTTTCTTCTCTCTCCCCACTGCCCTCCCCTCCACAGATTGCTGAGCCTGACCCGGAAGTCCTCATCGGTTGGCAAATTCAATGTGAGTGTCCCAGTGCTTCCGCCTGGTCTGGCCTGAGGGAAAGACCAGAGCAGGGTCATGACGGGCCTGCAGACTCTGGTTTCTGTGTGACCTTTGGAAAACCCCCTGGCCTCTCTGTTTCCTTTGCTAGATATTGTCTTGGGCAGTGGCAAGTTAGGTTGGCCCTTGCTGGCCAAGCGATTATTTTTATTAGTCTCGTTGGCCTTAGGGTCTAACACAGACTCTGATTCCAAGGCGCCCCCTGCCCCCTCCAACCCTCACTTCCCTAGAGTCAGTTCTGATTCATAGCAGCTCTGGGCAGAGTAGCACAGCCCCCTGTAGAAGTAGACCTCCTCCACAGAGCAGCTTCGGAGTTCAACCGGCTTGCCTTGTCCTTAGCAAGCCAGCTCCTATCCCACTCGATGTCTTTCCACCTGGCTATTGCTTCACAGGAGCTCACTGCATCCTCAGAGCAGCCCTGGGAGGGGCTGCTCTCGTGTGTCGCCTTCGCAGATGGGGACAGCGAGGTGCAGGGAGGCGGTGAATGCAGGACTGAAGCCGTGGTTTTCTGTCGGAGCAGAAATGGCTTCCACGAATCCCTGCTAGCTCCTGAGTCTTCACCTCCCTGCTCCTTGACCCAAAGTCCCATGTGTCCCTTGCACAGGGCCCTCCCTAGAACTTGGGAAGAGCACCAGCCTGAGTCCAACAGAGCCAGGGCAGAGGGCATGTGTTGAGGGTGGGAGATTTGATGTCTCTAAGACTCGTTCCCCGGGCTCCAGAGCCCAGCCTGAGAAGGGGCTGAGAAACGTTGCACGGACATAAATGTTTCCTCTCTCTAATCCCTCAGGAGCAGGACCTGACTGGCTTCTTCACCGATTATCTCCAAGAGGCCTATGTCCCAGTCGTCAACGGTGAAGGCTCCGACAGGCTGTCCTGTTAAACGTGCTGGTGTCAAGAAGCACTTCCGGCAGGAGGGGGTGCCTCTTGGGTGGTCTCAGAGTCCCACCATGAGTTCTGAGGTCCTGGGTGGGGAGGGTTGCTAACTGTTCATAGAGTCATTGTTGACTCTCTGAGACGGGTGAAGGCTTACTGCCTCCTGCCTGGGGACAAAGGCCTCTTTTACTGTTGGCACTTTGACCTTGACCCCAGACCATGAGCTAGATTTTGACCCAGACCTGGGATGGTGAAGACCCAGAACAACAAATACATGAGGGTATCAGGGGTTGCTCTTTCTATGTAGCTAGCAGACATCATCAATCAATCAACGCATGATTTCTCACCGCCCTGCGCCAGGCAACCGCTTCTTCATCGATTGCAGAGCAAATAGGTTGAGCTGAGTCTTACTGTATTTCTCAGGTGTGCTCCAGGTCGGGTTCCCGCTTCCAGACTTCCTGGGCATGAATTACAACCGGGCTGAATTGAACATAGTGGAGGTGAGGGGAGAGGCTACGGAGGACAAATCAAGCAACGCTTTGGGCCAGTGGGTTGGGAGAAAGAGCCCCAAACAAACTTGAAGGGAGGGCAGGGGCAGGGAGTACAATCCTGCAATCAATACAACCCTACCAATCAGAGGGTCCGAGCTGATCTGCCACCTCGGGGAAATCGCTTCACCTTTTGAGCCCCCCATTTTTTATGTGCATCCAACAGTGATGGCAGTTTGGGTGCGGCCCTCAGGGTAGACTGTGGCTGTGGCGTGTGGTTCAGTAAAGGCTAGCTTTACCTCGCCCGCCAGGCACAGTGAGCATGTCTGCTTTGCTCTGCTCCGGGAGGTAGGGCTGGTTTGCTCCACTTGAGAAGATGGAAGCACCTCCCCCGGGGTCACCAGGCACATCCAGCTCAACCTCTGCGCTCCATCACCTCCCTGGTCGCTAGCCATCTCTGGCTGGGCTTGTCACTGCCCCTCCTAATACCAGCTCTTTATCTCCGGCCAGAATGCCCTGATGCTGAATTTGAAGTTGGAGTGACCTTGGAAGAACTTGCCGGCCAGTTGCCTGAGCCCCACCCACTGACTGTGGCCCCTGGAGGGGGGCCTCCTGATTGGAGCTGGAGAGAAGGGAGGGAGACGGCAGGTGGAGGTGGCCTGGCCTTTTACCACCAGTAGCTGCTTCCTTGGCCGGAGAGTGAGTGGGACTGGCCTGGGCGGGGGCCGTGCAATAAAGAGGAGAAAGGCCCTTTGAACCCCTGGTGCTCCTGCGTCTTTCTTTCTGGCTTCTCGGGGAGGGGGCAGCCGGTCACAGCATTGGTGGCAGGTTGGAGCAGATGGAGTACCGGCTGAACGCCACGGTCTATCACCATTACATTCAATCCACCCAGGGCCCCAAGGGCAGCACCCCCACTTTGTAGGTCAGGAAATGGAGGTCCAGGGAGGCTAGTGCCCTTGCCTAAGGTCATACAGCTTAGGAAGTATCAAAGCTTTCCCACCCACCTTACCTGGCTCCTACGTATCCCCAAATCTGAGAGACTTGGCAGCTCTATTCCCAGGAAGCCTGCTGAGTGCCTGGGATGTCACCTCGCTTAGCCTTCCCAACAGCTGAGGCAGTTAGGGATGACCCTCATTTCATAGAAAAGAAAACGGAGTGCCTGGCCCCAGGATACCATAGCAAAGAACACAACTGGGATCTGGGCTCCAGAGCCACCTGCCTGGACTTACCTGGGTTGGCCTCCTGGCTTATGTGTGCCCTGGGCGAGGCTCTTCACCTCTCCAAGCCCCAGAAAGGAATGCTAGGAGTACCAACCACAGCAAGGTCGTCGAGAGTCAGATCCTGGATGTGCTGACTGGTACACACCTGCTCCATGAATGTCAGCCACAGGTGCAGCTTTGAGGCCGTGCAGATGCGAGAAGTGGTTAAGAGTGTGGGAGCCAGAGTGCCCGAGTGTGAGCTGTGAAGGTGTCAGGGGCCAGGGCGGCCTGAACGGGCCCTGCATCTCCAGGGGTGGAGGCTGGCGTGGGGGCTGTGGTGAGGTCTCTGGGTGGTGTCCACTTGTTGGTGGCCTTTGTCTCAGAGAGGCCATGCATGTGGGGGACCCGATATCATCTTCCCCATCACCTCTCCTGAGACTTATTCTGATTCGTTCTTTAAATGGACTCTCTTGAAAAATAAATGTGTTGCAAGTGGGCCCTGAAAAGCAATGTCATTTGCTGGAACTGGAACAAATATTCGTTAGGGCGTGTGTGTGTGTGTGTGTGTGTGTGTGTGTGTGTGTACCTCCTATGATCAGCTAGTGCTCCAGGCCTGGAAGCTTTTGGGGGTGATGGCCA